ACGAAGCTACTATGAGCAAAAAGAGAGCAGAACGTTAGAGATTGAACTAACAAATTCTGTAGAGTTGGAGAATAGAGATAGAATGAAGCAGAAAATGAAATAGGGGTCCCTATGTCCTCCAGCAGTCTAAGCCTATAGCAGCATAACTATAGAGATAGCTCAAGATAACCTGAGCCACTCTAACTATAAGCTTTATTAAAAAGGAAAGTTTTAAACCTAAACTTAAAAATAGACAGGGTGTCTACCTCACACACTAAAACTGGTTGTTGGTTACACAGGAGAGGAGTGTGTCAAAATCATCAACCGGCATGTATTACAATACAATATTACAAAGAAAACTTAGATTAAATTATATGATTAAGTTAGCATGTCCTTTAGCTGTTTACTGATCCAAGTGGCTTGCAGTGCTTTTGTAATTTCAGTTCATTATAATACCCAGAAGGGATATTAATTAGCAGCACACATCATAAAATCACAATCACTCAACAACAGTAGCTACTCACTTACAGTACAAATTTCAATAGTTTCAATAAATGTTATTTATCCAAAACACATTACAGACTCTCAGATACCTTCTGCTCACATGTGGATATTTGCCCAGGGTATGTTCAAGACACTTTAGAGGTTTGATGGGCAAACATCCCAGCTTAGTTTCCAGCTACTGCAGGAAGACCAGCACACCTACTCACAGCACTGGTTCCATCTGCCTGAGGTGTCGCACCACACATGCCGATGGAAACAGTTCACCCAGCTGGTAAAGATAAGAATGTGTGAGATAATGATTAAGATTTAAAAATCTCAACACCCCCTTGCAGTCTATGGCTGTAGTTGAGGATCTCTGCCACCTGAGCAGCAGTAATGGCGCCATCCTCCACCCTAAAATTGAATTACCAAAACAGCCAAACCCATCTGTTGAATTTGTGTTTGAAATTAAATCCACCAATCAGCTCAGTAGAAAAAAAAGGTCCAGTCATAATTCTTGCTTGCATGCACACACAATTTAGGGCTTCAAAGTAAGATTTAGTTTTTTTCTCTTCACCCATAAGCAGACCTGAACAAAAAGTACTCATGCAATGTATTTTGTACTAATGCCACTCTTATTTTCAAAGACATTTTTGTTTTAAAAAGTTGTATTTTAGTCTCTTGCTTTCTCATTTGAACCAGCTTGAGCTTGTATCTCTCACACATCTGCGGAAGTTAGTTCAGATGAACCCATCAGATTCCTGCTGTAATCTTACTACCCGGCATATTGTGAAAGATGTTTTTCACTTAATAGCAGCATTGTCAAAAGTGTGATTGCTGAGGATTTAAAGCATGAACCTGCTCTTTTAAGGTTTTTTAAATGATATATCTACTGCTACTGATGTTGGTAATTATGTTGTCATTGGGCTTTTGTACCTTACCTTTGACACAGTGAATAATGGGCACTCTGCTGGTACAAGTGTAGCCTTGGAGTGGTTCTGGTTTTACCTGAATTACCTACATTTTTATGTTTACATAGCATTGAAAACTTGGTTTTTAGGGTCTTATCAACATCTATTATTGGACAGTCAGTCCAACAAAACACATTCCAGTTTTCAACAACTATTTCTGGACTAAATCAAGACTATGATGGACCAACCAGATTTAGCCTAAAAAGCAATGTCCAAATGACGTCTGGTGTTTGGGGGGAATCCATCCAACTGGTGGTTGTGACAGGCTTTATGTCTTTTGGCTCTTTGTTTCCATATATACCACCATCATGTGTGTGAAATTAGATGGCAACCTTTAATTTGACACTCAAGTCGGCTCTGTAGTAAAAATGGCAGCCAAACTGAGCCAAATTCAAGCCAGTTGTATCTAGAAAGGATTTTAATAAGATTGATGATGCCTCAGACAGGCTGCCATCTTTTGTTTTCCTGTTGTTAGAGTTTAACTTTTGCCTTTTCAGTCTTTACCTTTGCAGCATTGCTAGTGCACCACCCACTGGCATGCTTTTTATTATTGAAGCTCATATTACAGCTCCTCCCGCTTCAGGTGGTTTCATCTTAACGCTTAAGATTTTTCTGCACACCTTATTCAGAAATGTGTGAATGTACACACCAAAATCAAATGTGTTAAAATTCCAGGGTTGGTGTTGTACCTTAAACATCTACTAGTCTAATTCAGCTATGAAAAAGATGGTGTGCTTGCATAGTTTCTGCAGAGATTCTGTGTTAATCCTCGGAGTTTAATTCAAGAAACTCTTAAAAATCTATTGAATCTAAAATAATCAGTTAGTAGAGTTCCTCCAAGAATGCTAACCTATCCGTGAACTGGTATATCTTAAACATATTTGCTAACAACAACATAGATGATACACGGTTTGAAGCTCATCTTATTCGTATCTTTTGGTGACATCCCTGACTTCAAGTGTTGGTGGTGTTCAGAGGGCCTGTTAGCACTGTCACAGTCTTGGTTCTGTTATGTTTTATTTTGAGTATTCAGTTTAACTTTGCTCCATGTTTTCTAGTTTTTTTGGTTTAATTCTTATTTTGTTGTGTTTTCTGGTTATATTTCAGTTCTCAGGTTTTTATTTGTTGCTCTCTGTTGCCCTCTTGTGTTTCTATCCTTTTTCACTATCTCCTTAGACTGCTCTCTTCACACCTGCTCCCAATCTGCTCGCTAGTCCTCTCTTTGTTCAGTTAGCCATAAAGACTCTCCTTGTGCAGTTCCTCAGTGCTGGTTCTTCGTCTAACTTCCTCTAACTCCGTCTTAATGTGTCTTCCTCATTGTTATGGTTTTCCCCTGAAGTCTCCATTGTTTCTGGTTTGTTTTACTTTTTAATGTTTGATTTTTGGATTTTTGGATTCCTGCCTCAGTTGTCTGTTGACCTTTCATTAAATCTACAAGAAACTCACCTCTGCCCCCCTGCTTCTGCATTTGGGTCCTCAAACCAAAACTAAATCTTGACAAGCACCTGTTTGTGCAAGCTTGCCCCTGGGCAGCTGTGATGATAATGTAGCACACAGCATTAAAATACTTACCACTATTATGTTTATGACACTCAGTTATATTTGTCCATAAATCCTGACAAGGCTTAAAATAGAGGTCTTAGTATTCAAGGCAGACAGACAGTCAGATATCTCAAAAGTGTTTATTTAAAAATTTAAAGTAACAGCAACTAGGTCAAAGACATGAACCTCTGCAGGAGGAAAACAGATTAGTGACCATGTTAATCTGACAGAGGATGATTATAAACGTGAGTCACCAACCAGTACCTATAGTTCAGTCTGTGCCCTGAGAACAAGGTTGATTCCAGTCTGTTGACTCCCAACAACATGGGGTGAACGCCGCCCAGAGAGTCCCAGATGTTGAAGCCCCGGAGGATGGAAAACATGCAGGAGATCAGATTCAGGCAGAAGAATCTGATAATCCAGAGGACGAAGCCAAAGCCAGTGTCAAGGACGTGCTCAATATTCAGAACTAGGAGATCAGAAGTCCAAAGAGGTTCCAAAGAGAAATCCAGAACGGTGTCAGGAATCAATTGCAAGTTCAGTTAACAGATAGAATCCAGCAGGAGTCCGAAGACGGGTCCGGCAAACAGATTAGAAGGGACCAGGAAGGCTCAGTGGTTGAGAGGCAGAAACAGGTCAGGATTTTCTTTCCAATCAAGCAATAGCACACCAGACTCCAATCATCTAGTCATCATGTTGAGATTGGACTCACTTGATTAGATGACTGGAGTCTGGTGTGCTATCGCTTGGTTGGGAAGGAAACCTGCCGCCACATTCTATAAATCTGAGTATATTTAAATTTCTTCAACAACCTATATAGATTACATCTATATAGTTTATTTCAGGGCTGGAGTGATTAATCAAATTAATTGTGATTAATTGATTATTGAAATAGTGGTCAAGTAATTTAGTAATGGATTAATTGTTAATTGGAGCATTGGGACTCTAAAATGCCTTTAGCTGACCCAATTAGAGCAATCATTACACCAAAATTGTTAAGAAATATTTAAACATTTTGCGTTTAACAAAAAATATAATAATTTGTCCATTAATATGCTATACCTGGTTTAAATTCTGTAAAAAATCTTTTTTTATTCTATTATTAAGTGATTACTCGAAAAATTGAAACTTAAACTGATATCCTGCCTGAGCATCATTTTCCTTTCTTTGATTGTCTAGCTCTACTTTGCACCTCTTTGTAACACCATCTTTCTTTTTTGTGTCTGCGAGGCCTTTATAATCGCGTTTATTGCAGCTGCAGGCGTAATTAATGACTTTTCCTTGCGCTCTATCAATTTTCTCCTCTACTGTGTCTCTTCTCCCTGAGACCCGAGCAAACATACCCTTACTCTCCACAGTCCAGTGGGGAATTGTTTTCTCTGAGCTGGTCTAAACCCCCCGCTGCCCACCCTGGGCCTCACTTTGTCCCATTCAACAGGCCAACAGATGCTGCTGAATTGAATGGAAGCAGACGAAGGCTGTTCATGTTGGTTGCTTTAATGCGTGGAGGATGGGATAAGGAGGGGGTTTGGCCATGTTTTCCCACAACTGTGCATACTTCAGTGTCACAAAGAAACCGTGGCTCAGACCGATTAAAAACAAAGCAGAAGCCCGGGTTAGCTCAGGTCGCAATCTTGGATTGAAATGTCTGAATCCCTCCATTGATGTTGACACATTTTTACAAGAAATACTCTGGAACTAGGAGGATCTAGTGTTTGTGTCCCTGATCTTGTGATTGAGCTAAATATTTGTCCATCTTCGCTGCGCTGGATCGAGAGGCCTAATAACTGTGTCTGTTTCTCTAAATAAATCTTCGCCTGTATTTGAGATAACCTGTTGAAATCATTAAGGCACCGGGTGCCTGTTGCCACAGCAACACGGGCTTCTCCTTTTCTTTCTTTTCTCTCTCTCTCTACTTTTAAAACACCCTCCTAACACACATCAACTCAAACACACACATTCACATACTAGAGCGAGGTCATGTGACTGTGCTGACGTCAGCCTGGGGAGGCAGGCTGAGAAACGACTCAGTTTGAGGGCTTTGAATAAACCTCCAGCTCAGTCCAGGAGTCTGTCAGATACCGTTAGCTCTGCTACGGTCGCCTATTCGCTCCTTCTTCTCTCCCCCTCGGGTGTGCTGTCCCCCTCCCTCCTCCTATTATCATTGTTTTGTCTCTTGCTCCTCCTGCTGCTGTTACTGCAAACTTAGTCTAGAGTGAAATTCCTGTATGATGGACTGCTGAGCAGCTTTTTGTTATCTACAAAGTGAGGTAAGATCCCATAATTTGTCCTTACATGTGAATTATCTGCCTGTGGGCTTTCAGGCAGAAAGCTGGATAAGAAAGGTTTCATTCTTTGTGTCTGTCACATACTTCTGTTGAAGGGAAGTTGTGAATTGTGAAACTCCTTTTTTTATCTTCTCATTGTCTGACTAAACCTGGCACTAGAGTAACTGCAAATATGTTGTGTGATGTCTGTTGGGGGAGTGGGGGCTTTTAAGGGAGACCCCTGGTAGAGCCAGTAGACTTCTTTCTAAGCAAACATAGCTGCATGTGTTTTCAACCCCCCCCAACAGGAAGTAAGTGCAGCACAGAGGAGAGGAGGAAGGAGAGAGAGAACATAATAAGGACTGTGCGGGTGTCGTGATGTTTAGCGCCACATGGCTTTTCCTCCCCGGGCGTTGCTAATGTTAGAGGCAGCAGTGTGGGCTGGGAGCTGCTGGCTCTGACTGCCAGAGACACGGAGGCAGCGACGGAGGGGGGCGGGGGCAGAGCAGCTGCCACCTGCCCTCTGATGTGGTGGGAAAGCCTCAGAAACATGCATTCCGTTATCTCATGCTATCCTTCTTGGCTTTCTTTATTTTTTTTGTTTTTTGTTTAATATAAAAGATGGTTGTCATAATACTGAAATTTCAAACTCGATATCGATACCCAGGAAAATATTCTCAATACTCAAAACCATTGGCATAAAAGTGAAAAATAACTAAAGGCATCAAAATATATTCATTAACAATGTTTCTCAATAGAATCATAGATGCTAGTTGAAGTAAATGTGAAAATAAATGACAAATAAAATGGCCAATTATAACACATCTAACTGTCATGATCTTGGCACTGATGACTGGCTTAATTGCTTATTCCATTCACCTGTCTAACCCTGCCTGGTTTGTAATCACTGCTCATCCGATCCACCTGCTCCTGCATCCATTTAAGGGGCTTGCATCCAGTTATCAGTTCCAGATTTTCTTGATCTCTCTAGCCAATGGTGAGAGGGTTTTTAGAGTTCCAAGGTGTTCCTGATTTGTTGATCCTGACCTGTTCTGCCTCTCAACCACTGAGCCTGCCTGTTCCCATCTGAACGTTTCGCCTGAACTGTCTTTGGACTCCTGGATCTTTGAAGCTGTCTCTTTCTGTTCTGACCTGTTTGCCTGACCTATCTGCGGACTCCTGTTTGCTCTCTGGGGCTGCAACGCCTGGGACATTTTGGGCGGCGCCCACTGCATCTTGTTTGCAGACCACTGCACTGGAAAAAATCGTAATCTAGATAAGTCATTTTTTTCTTAAAATAAGTGCATTTGTTCTTGGATTGAGGAGTTAAAGGATACATTTTGCCAATGGAACAAGACAGCAACATTTAAAATAAAAAAATACAATTGCATTTTCTTTTTTCAAGTGCATTTTATCTTATTTTCTTATTTTAAGAGTAAAAATACTCATTCCACTGGCAAACTATCTTATACACCAACTCAAATTAAGGGTAAATACACTTCATTTAAGACATTTTTACTTATTTCTAGATTGTTTTTACAGTGTGACTGGATCCTGCCTTATTCTCTGTGCATGAACTGAACTTGTAAATCGGGTTAGTGACTCACATGTTCATAGTCATTCTCCATCAGATTATCGTGGTCACTAACCTGTGTTTCTCTCCTGCAGTTTCCTCCCTTAGATGCCCTAGCCACTGCAGATCTGCAGCGGTTTTGTAATAAACGCTTTTTGAATAATCCCACTGTCTCTCTTGCCTTGAATACTGGTTCTTCTGTTCTGAATCGTGACACTAACAATATTTTAAGGTTGCTTGAGGATCGACACTCATAATAATGTGTAATTGTATTAATTCTAAAGATGTTAGTCATCAATACTAAAGAAGTGTTGTTTAAATATTTTTGCTATTGGTAATTTTAGCTTTATGGATTAATTATTTTATGCATTTATTTAACTTGCAGCTGAGATGCTGTTGCGAAATCATGTTCCATGGTGAGATTGAAAAAGGGGAGTTTTTCCAAGTTAAATTCTACCTTTATTTTATTTTCATATTTTATATAAGTGCTTTCAAAAATGATATAGAGTATCAAATATTGGCGTGAATATTAATATTAGGTTTGAAATGCTAGCATCGTGGCAGCCTAGTTTATTGTTTTATTCTACTAATGTGCAAATAGTCCAGATATATAAACCAATTTGTAACACGTCTTTAGTATCGACATTTGAGTATCGATACTTTTTGGAGTATTGATACACTATATTGCCAAAAGTATTTGCTCACCCATCCAAATTATTGGAATCAGGTGTTCCAATCACTTCCATGGCCACAGGTGTATAAATTCAAGCACCTAGGCATGCAGACTGTTTTTACAAACATTTGTGAAAGAATGGGTCGCTCTCAGGAGCTCAGTGAATTCCAGCGTGGAACTGTGATAGGATGCCACCTGTGCAACAAATCCAGTCGTGAAATTTCCTCGCTCCTAAATATTCCACAGTCAACTGTCAGCTGTATTATAAGAAAATGGAAGTGTTTGGGAACGACAGCAACTCAGCCACGAAGTGGTAGGCCACGTAAACTGACGGAGCGGGGTCAGCGGATGCTGATGCGCATAGTGCGAAGAGGTCGCCAACTTTCTGCAGAGTCAATCACTACAGACCTCCAAACTTCATGTGGCCTTCAGATTAGCTCAAGAACAGTGCGCAGAGAGCTTCATGGAATGGGTTTCCATGGTCGAGCAGCTGCATCCAAGCCATACATCACCAAGTGCAATGCAAAGCGTCGGATGCGGTGGTGTAAAGCACGCCGCCACTGGACTCTAGAGCAGTGGAGACGCGTTCTCTGGAGTGACGAATCGCGCTTCTCCATCTGGCAATCTGATGGACGGGTCTGGGTTTGGCGGTTGCCAGGAGAACGGTACTTGTCTGACTGCATTGTGCCAAGTGTAAAGTTTGTTGGAGGGGGGATTATGGTGTGGGGTTGTTTTTCAGGAGCTGGGCTTGGCCCCTTAGTTCCAGTGAAAGGAACTCTGAATGCTTCAGCATCCCAAGACATTTTGGACAATTCCATGCTCCCAACTTTGTGGGAACAGTTTGGAGCTGGCCCCTTCCTCTTCCAACATGACTGTGCACCAGTGCACAAAGCAAGGTCCATAAAGACATGGATGACAGAGTCTGGTGTGGATGAACTTGACTGGCCTGCACAGAGTCCTGACCTCAACCCGATAGAACACCTTTGGGATGAATTAGAGCGGAGACTGAGAGCCAGCCCTTCTCGTCCAACATCAGTGTGCAACCTCACAAATGCGCTTCTGGAAGAATGGTCAAAAATTCCCATAAACACACTCCTAAACCTTGTGGACAGCCTTCCCAGAAGAGTTGAAGCTGTTCTAGCTGCAAAGGGTGGACCGACGTCATATTGAACCCTATGGATTAGGAACGGGATGTCACTTAAGCTCATATGTGAGTCAAGGCAGGTGAGCAAATACTTTTGGCAATATAGTGTATTTTTGACCACCCGAGCAGTTTGACGAGAACTTTTCTACCTTCAGCTTTCTCGTTCCGTCCTAAAAACCATTTATCACGCAGTGCATGAAGAAGCATTTAGATTTAAAAAAATGAAAAAATGTTGGAAGTGTCTTTGATTAATCCAAACGTATTGGAGCACAAAACATTGCTACGTTGCAATTCGCTGCTTGTCTTTGCACACTGAACGCCCCAGTCAGCAGGCCTTTTACTTGCTTTAAGACAAATTCAGTTGTTTGATTATCTTTTACCCAATAATACTTTGAACACAGCCTCCAAATGAAAATCTAGCTTTAATATTCTACACAGTAACGTTCCATTATTTCACACTTTCTTTATGCCATAGCATACCAGCTTTATTTAAACACAGTAGGGCCAAAGTCCTGTTACTAAAGCAAAAACACATTGCCTGTTTTTTACTGATAGACATTTCTGATTTAAACTACAGCATGGACAATGCTACAAAATGGTACATTTCTGCTATAAAATAACAACAGTCATAAACATTTTATACATTGTTGAAATTTTCAATTTATATTCCCTTCATGTATTTTTAACAGAAGTATAAATGTATTATTTGCTCCTATATTTAGCCTTAATTGACTGAAAGGAGAGGACAGTTTGTTTAACTTTCTTTGTTACGTCTTCTCTTCTGTTCCTTTGCTGGGAGACGGATCCTCATCTGCTCCTGCGCTCAGCAGGGCCTCAGTCCTCTTACTTAATGATGTGGAGATCTGCCAGTGGCATGTAACAGCTCTCTGTGACAGAATCTAAAGTCTTAAAGCTGCAGATATCTGCCAGCCCATCTAATTAAATGTCCACTGCTGCTCAGAAGATAAAGACTCAAATTAGCATTTGTTGATTGCATGGGGATTTATGGCTTGGATTTGGGAAAAATGTCATGGTGACATAATACCTTACATGGTGCATTTGTCAGTAAAAAGCATCAGATTAGATAACGATCAGGCAAAACGTTGTGGTAAAGGAATAGTTTTAGCTTTAGGGAAAAGGTTTCACGTGCAGTTTTGCAAAGAAACCAGAGTATTTGAAGGTATGACTTTAACCATGCGCTGATTGGTTTCACTTCAGCGTGAATATATATAATGAAGTCTGTGTAGATGAGAAAATGCAGAGCTGTGGAACTACTGTAGAATCTGGAGTTTTTTCGCCTTTATGTCACACAAAAAATAAGTTTTTATAATGCTCTGAAGCAGCTTGTCTGACCACGTTTACAATGAAAATGTTGTGTGTGAGTAGCTATTGACTTTACAGCAATCCCTTCTCCTGAGAAAGCACGCAGCAGCAATGGAAAAAAGGACTTGACGTCAACAAGGTTTTACTTCCTGCTAAAACTGGGGGTTGGCAGGTCAGTGCAGACATAAGAAACACCGGATCAGTTATAGTCGGGTTATAGTCACGCTGTTTCAATTAATACATGATGTTAAAATACATTGTACAAAATGTATAACATCTTAATTTGCTTT